TCTTGACTTTGCCAATGATAAATCAATCATTAATCACTATCAGAAATGTCTGTTCTTCCACATGAGCACCGGACTTCCTCTACAGCTTTATCCTGTTTTGTTCTGATTTCCTCAGTTTGAGATATATTGCTTTATACAGACACTTTATTATATATTTGCCACTTTTTGACATTTTATTTAAATGTTAACTTTTTTTTTTTAAACTTGCATTGTATTTTATTGCATTAGACTTTTACTTATTTAGTGCCTTCACTTTAGTTTTCTGAACTCTTTTGAACTGTTGTTTACAGGTTGAGTTCATTTTTGGCAGTTGTAACAAAGAAATTTTCAGACTTTTGGGACAATAATGCACTTTGTTAATTTAAATCAAATTAGAGGATAGGGGCTGATATCTAACTCTAAAAAACAAAACAAAACAAAAAAAAACAACAACCAGAGGATACAATCTACTTTAAAAAAGGTTCAGTAAAGGACTTCAAAGGATTACATTTCAACTAAATGCTACTGAACCCCACGCACGAGGCACATGGCACAAAGTCCTCATTTGCTCTCTCCACAAGTGCTAGAAAATCCCCCAAGACACAACCCCAACCGAAGTGCAGAATCGCCTCTTTTCTACTTCAATCCCCCTGAAGGAGCACATTAAGCTCTGATTATCAAGATTAAAAAGATAAAAGTCTGTGACACTGAAGCTCAAGACACAGGGGGGTGGGGGGTTGGAGGTGTATGCCACCTTCATACAGTCTAATCCCACAATAACCAAGCAGGCAGATTGTGTGAAAGTTTCCAGCTAATGCAGAACTCTCACCACGAGTCAAGATAAGATATTCTCACAGCTTCTCATCGAGAATTACACTTTGTGGTTTGTCACTCATTGCACATCTTTGAAACTACAAGCAGCTGTTTGCGTTTGCAACTCCAACATGTAGCACGGTTGACATCGCAGCGCTCTCTGCATACAGAGAGAGCCCAGACGTCCTCAGTCAGAACGAAACAGAAACAACAGACAGCTCGTTTTACAACAGGGTGGAGGCCAGCGGGAAGATCTTGTAGACTTTACCGTCTGAGAGGCAACACGCCTCAGCAGCCCACACATTCAACTCCACAAGTCAGCTCGAAAGCAGCTGAACAAGCTCCTTCGCAGGTTGAGATCACACAGCAGTCACAGCCACTCTGCAACTCCAAAACTGTCATTTAGTTGCACTTTTCTAGTGAATATTGTGTGAAATGCACTGCAGTGTCACCATACTGCCACAGCACTCCTTTGGGTTTTTGCATTTTTATTTTTTTATTTTTATTTTTTTTGGGGGGGGGGGGGGGGGGGGGATTTTCCAACTTATGAATGACATTTCTAGGACACTCTACATACATACCTTTCAGACCACAGAGGTTGGCGAAGTGACAGACTCTTATGCCTTCCTGTGAAGCCTTTCCTTCCTAAGCCGTCATTAATTGCTGAGAGGTGCAGACTAAATATAAATAAATTTGCATGGACTTTTGAGTTTAGTGATGGGGAAGTTCCCACCTATTATGCTTTCTCTTTTGTGAGAGTGGCACCTTTCACCAAGACGCAATAACATAACATCTGCATTTTCTGTTGTGTTCTTTTCTTTTCTTTTTCCCCCCCTCAGCACATTTTCACGTCCTTGAAGTCTGAGGCGAACTGATTGCAGAAAAAGGAGGAATAACTGGTGAGAACACTGACAACTCCTGTAATACGAAACCAGATTAAAACCCATCTTAAAATTTGTCAGGTAAAAATCTACACGTGATTTGGGGTTAAAAAAAACAAAAACACCAAAATCAAATTCTGTTTATTGACTGATCGGTTTGGAAACTACACGCTTTAACCAGCTAGTATACTTGCTGACCTCTAAAACGACATGAAAAGTCAAGCAAAGCTCGTTCCTGCACTTTAGAGCCCATAAACTTACATTAACGTTTTCAGAGTATTGCCAGACCAACTTAAAAGGTGTAAATATTATATTTATGTGGCATTTAGTCAGTGTATAAAATAGATTTAAAAAAATGGAAACAAGTAGAAAATACCGGAAACATCAAGAGTATCAAAGGTGAAAAAAACAAACGCCACCTGAGAAAGTAACGTCCACCGAACTCTGAATTATTTGACGTTAGTATTTTAAAAACATATTGTATGATTTTAAAATGTATTATTTAAAACTGTTCAAAGAGTGGGGAAACTGAAATATATCAGGAGCCCTGTTAAACAACAGTATTGTGTCTCTACGCATTTATGCTTAACTGCGCCTTTTCCCCCACCGAGAACCTAGTTTGCCGTTAGCCATTTTCTACTCACTTTGTCCTCCTCGGGAATAAGAGTTTCGGCGTCCTTCTTCACATCTTTCTGTGCCAGAGCCGTGTTAAATGATACCTTGACCATCTTGAAACAAGTGGTGACAATCTCCGACAGAAAGTGGGAAAAAAGCAACACAACAAAAAGCAAACAACAGCAAAGAGAATTTGCTCCGAAATAAAAAGAAGTCGCACTTCTTCCCCGGCCAAGTCTGTTGTTGTGATAAGAGCGACGTAAAGCTAGACTTAGAGTGACCGCGCTTCCGGCCTTCAAAATAAAAGCATATCCACGACGATTAGTCTGAGACGTTCCGACATTTGACTGAAATACGAAGCAAAATGGCACAATCCAAGCTTAAAACTTAGCTTACAAGCAACATCAATGTGAAACTATGTAAACATCTGTATCTACGTGCTTTATTATACCTTATTATACTTGCTTTTATTATGCTTTATTTTATAGCCTCTTCTATGTACGACATGTATTTCAAAACGATTTACAATAGGCCGAGAAGCACAGGCAATGGGAATGCAAGATAAACAACAAAATAAAACAATGCAGAAAACAATAAACGAAAAAACTCAGTTAACATATTTAGTACTATACCTACTTAAAAGAACATATAAATGGCTGTTAAATAATAAAATAGATAAATAATACAAAAAAAGCAAGTAATAGACTAAAATGTTTTATTTAAATATAGAACATTAAAACTGTGCAAATATTATGAAAGTGATTAGATCACGACTGTTGCTCTAGTACCTAGAGCTGTCAATAAATATTATATAATTTACTTCCGAAATGTAATGGATTACATACACTAAACTCAAGACTTTATTACTATGACTATAATTTATAGAGTTTATTACTTTGCTGGGATATATTTGCATAACCAACCCATCAACACCAAAGAGTGGGGTGGGGGGGACAATCCGAGCTACGCACACACACACACACTGATTAATACGGTAAAAGTAAGGCAGGGGCGTCAAATACCCAGGGACCAGAATCAGTTGCCAAATACTCTCCAATCTGGCCCCTGGGACAACTTTTTAAACTGTATTTTCATAAGTTTTATGAGTTTTATTACTGATCAAAAAACTCCCCCGTGACCACTCACCTAAAGTAAATAAAGAATGAAAACACAAATGACACTTTTTTACTGTTGTTATTCAAATTCATCATTTTTGCAGTGGCCTTTAAAGGAAAAATATAAAAACAAAAATTCTTTCAACTAACAAAAATGTTCTGTTTTTATAAGTAAAAGACCATCTGTGCCATAAGCTAATGGAACTTTTTCTGTATTAATACATTTGGATGTAAATTTTATACAATTAACGTAATTAGTGGAAGTAATTTATGCATTTATTTCTTACGGTTTAAGCCCAAATAGTTGTGCTGAAAAACTTTAGTATTTCTCTGTAATGCAGAAAAACTGAGATGTATTGTGTTGTTAAACTTTTTTGCAATGACAGAAATGACAGTTAAGATCAAATCTGGCTTTATATTTACACAAGGAGTTTGATATCCCTGCCATAACATAAGAGAAAATAAGAAAATTAACATAACGACACGAACTTAAATTATGACTAAAAACTGGTAGTGTGTTAAAGAAATAACATTCAACATAAAAATCCAAAATTTAAATAATTTAATGGGCTTCAAGGAAATATACACATTTTTGATTTACAGAAAAAAACAGAAGAACTGTCAGTTTTACCTGATGAGCTATATAATGAATTCAGAATATATCTTATTTCTTTGATTCAAATATCTCAACAAACCACGTGAATAAAATTAGGCTGTAATGTGAGTTCTCATCTGCGAAAGACAATATCCAACCACGAAATACAGAATCACAGTACACAGCTTGCAAGAGAAAAACGTTTTATGTATTTTATCTTTTAATTACTGTGGCACTTTTCCCTTTTTGTATAAATGCTTGCATTACATAAACTTTTATGAAATTTTAAGCAGGTTTGCACTTATTTTGACGGTCCGGAAGTTTCTTCAGTTTCGGTTTGCGCTGTCTACGGCCTGACCGGGGGAAACAGCCTACATCTGGGAAACGGCTGTTTCCCCCTGGTCGGAGAATATGGGAACAAAATAAAATAAAGCTGTGTGAACACATTTATATACAGTGACAAAACAAAACAAAAGATTAATACAATTCTTTCTCGCCAGCTGGAATGTGTGATATACTAAAAAAAAAAACACACACACACACACACACAACAACAGTGAAAAAAGGATGCCAGAAGTACTGTACTCATTTTTATTTTCAAGCGCTTGAATCGTTACTTGAATATTTCCACTTTATTCCCCGTCATAATAATATATATATTATCAACCTTTCCAACTTAATGTACTCCTTATTTTTTTGGTGTTGCTTTTCGCTTGAATGAAGGTGAAATACGCTGATAATAGAAACAATATTTGATGCTCTTACTTGTGTAAATGAGAGGTAACCTGTAATTAAAAACATAGGTCTGATAAATAAGTGCAGTGCATTAAAACGTTAAAAAAAACAGGAGGAATTTATTTGGAGTAGATGAACTGAGTACAAATTATTGAGAATTATAGATTACATTATAGATATATAAATAAGGCACCATAAGTCTAGGTTAGAATATGACTGCCAATAATATTAATAACGCCAATAAATGCTACGGAAGTGAGAACAGGAGTCATATCTCTAGCATACCCTAGAGACCAAAACGCAAATTGCCCGAAAACAACAAAGACGACGAAGAAGAAGATTTTGGAACGTCATTTCCTGTCTTGCGCAAGCCAGAGGAACGAAAGTAAACATGGCGGCGGCGGAGAAATCGACGAAGGAGAGACTGCTGTCTGTGCTGGATGATTTGGAGGTTTTATCCAGGTAAAATTAAACTTCGTGCGAGCGTTTTCTCGTGTCTCGTGTAAACTGTTTGGTAAGCTATCAGTATTTTATCTGTGAAGAGATAAAATACTCGGAGCCGTGAACTAGCACCCCCAGTTTGTGCTGATTACTAGCAGACATGCCGCTCATTGGCCGAGCCTACGGCTTTTCTGAAAGAAAGATAACGAGCTCTGGGATTTGAAACAACCTGAAACACTGTTCTAATTTTTCTGTTGGAAACTGTTAGCAGTTAGAAGACTCCATTTTATAAAACAAGGTTGTTGAAGAGTTTGTAGGTACTACACTCTACGGCTAATAGTCATTTTCAAAAGGAAATATGTCTGTGAAGGTTCTCATTCATCCAGGTCATCGTAGTCTAAGGAGCTTTGAAAGAAAAGGGTCTGGACTTCTTTGAGACTGGGACTCTCCACCATTGGACCCTTAGAACTGAAGAAGCTTCTCGGATGAGAGGTGAAACGTCTTCAAGCAACTCAAAGAAGTCCAGGCGCTTTTCTTTCCAAGCTCCTTAGACTTTCAAAAGGAAACTACCACAAGAATGGCCAAAATGACTAATCAGAGAAACAAAGCGAACATAGGCGTACAGAAAACGATCATCAGTATGAGCTTTAAAAAGTAAATAAATATATAAACATAGAAATTTGATTTGTTGGATTGAAATGTGGTTTTTGACCATTTTTAATTGTGTGTGTGTTCATTTCAGGGAGCTGATAGAGATGCTGGCATTGTCCAGGAGTCAGAAAATGCCTCAACCTGGAGAGGACACGCAGGTAACACCCCACTCAGCCTTTAGTCGACACACGGAGATTTAAACAAACTAATGACCATCACAGTGGCTGTCAGACCATGCGTAGTCCTAGGGTTAGTGGTGATCAAAGGCCTTCTAGAAGCAAGTCTCACTATGTGGCAGCTATTCTAAAATGTCTCCAGCTATATATTTGGTCAGTGTTGTGAAACACTGTCCAGTTTGATACTTGTCTGCCACTCGGTGTCTGTATTTTTCCAGTTTCTGGTACTTGATCTTCAAGTTCTTTGTGGATTTGCACAGTCTTTTGTTTTTTGCTGTTTTAAAGTTTTGGTGAGACATGATCACTGATACAGGATCACTGTTTCTTTAAGGACAAACCTGTGCTTAATTGCTAAGCATAATTTTTTTTTAAATTTAAGCATTTAATTTTAATGCTGTCACATTTGAAGATATCTAGTTCCTTCCAACTGATTTTCTGTCGTCCATAAATCTTTCATAGCTTTTGAACCTTTTATTGTGTTAGACATGAGTGATTTTAGTTAGTTACACTAACCTGTATGAAGCCTATGAAATAGGAAATCTTTGATAACAGAATGTGTTGATGCTTTATCCATAAGATCCTGGAGCTGTTGGTGCAGAGGGACAAGGAGTTTCAGGAGCTGATGGAGGTGGCCCAGCAGCAGGGGAAGGTTCACCAGGAAATGCAACTGCTGGAGAAGGAGGTGGAGAAGAGAGATAGTGACATCCAGCAGCTCCAGAAACAACTGAAGGAAGCAGAACACATCCTGGTGGGTTTGGCTTGTCTCTTGTTGTATTTTTTTTTTTATCCAGAGCAGGGCAGCGCTGACAGATTGAAATAAATGCTCAAATGTTTTAAGTATGCTGGTGTAGCTGATACTGTGCTCTTACAGCAGAGGTGTTCAGGGTTATAGTGTTGCTATTGTAATGTAAAGGGGCCTATGATTCTCTTCTTTTTCTGATATACCGTGTTACAGATGTTCATATTAAACATGGCCAAGGTTTAAAATAATGAGGCCAGCATACGAATAGTCATAATAAACAGAAACTACATCTTCTTTAAATTCTAATATCATGTGAGAAGTGATAAAGAGGATTGATATATTTCTGTGTATCTGTTTCAGGCCACTGCTGTTTACCAGGCAAAAGAGAAACTGAAATCCATCGAAAGAGCCAGGAAAGGTGAGGGAACACTCCCGACACGTTCTGGTGAAAGCTTTGTTTGATGGCTGGTTTTCTCTTTGATGGCTTGCCCATAAATTGACACTGTTTACATGTTCTCTGCAGGAAGCATCTCATCAGAAGAAATCATCAAGTATGCTCACAGAATCAGTGCCAGTAACGCTGTGTGTGCTCCTCTCAACTGGGTGCCAGGTATGTGCCAGGCTCTCTGTATCTCACACTGGGTGTTGGTAAAAGTTCATGTTCAGCTTCATTCACTGTTGTCATACTTGACAGGTGATCCACGCAGACCGTACCCTACCGACCTGGAAATGCGTAGCGGGATGCTTGGTCACATGGCCAACCTGTCCACCAATGGTGTGAACGGTCATCTGCCAGGAGACGCGTTAGCTGCTGGGAGGTTACCAGGTAAGTTCAGCTGAGCACTTAAAGGAAGGAGTACCCATGCCTCCTGGCAAAGAGATTTTAGATGAGGTCAGAGGTTTGTTACGGTGATTTCAAAATGTATCATTTATCAATTTATCATTATCCATCCTTAAAAAAGTTAAAGGATGGATCCATTATTTTTCTTTTTATCAAGTATAAACACTGAACACAGGTTTTATTTGTTGCCATTCAGACTGCATCTACATCAAGCTCTGTAACATAAGAAACTTGGCAAAAAGTACCAGCTTTCAGATACTATATAAGGGAGCTGAGAGAGAGGCTGAGATAAGTAGTGTCAGTCAGTGTTTGGCGTTTCACAGAATAATCACTTTTCTCTCGTGTCACCTCAGACGTCCTGACGCCTCATTACCCGTGGCAGTCGTCTGATGTCTCAGTGGGGATGCTGCCCCCTCACCACGGCAATGACTTTGGCCTGGAGCCTCCGGGTCACAACAAGGAGAATGAAGATGATGTAGAGGCCATGTCCACAGATTCCTCCAGCAGCAGTAGTGACTCCGACTAAAAGTGTGTCTCAGAGTCAAGAAATGCTGAGACGTGTGTGTGTGTGTGCGCGCGCGCGTGTCTGTTTGCTCGACTTAAAGCTCACCAGCGAGCAACATCTGAGCAGGCATCTTCAGCTTCAGTCATTTATTGTGCCTTTGAGAAATTGATTTTTTTAAAATGTACCCTTTTTGAATATTAGTGAATTTATGGTGTTAGTAGGTGGATTATGTTCCCTTTGGACAGAACCAGGCTAACTGGCGTTATTATACAGTTCAGTGAAACTACTGTATAAACTAGAACTAGCAAAAATGAAGAACGTGTCATTCTGGACTCCTACATGAAAGAAGACAGACCAAAGAATATCCTTCAGAAAACAAAGACAATAATTTGCCTTCTTTTGCTCTTTGGTGACACCGTGTGTGTGAGAGACTTGATGTCTAATTTTAGTTGGTCACGGTCAGAATGTTTGCAGTGTAGTATAAGTTGTGTATATATGCCTGTAAATACTCAGTCTTGTAAATAAATACTTTTTGAATACAATTTTTTTTCTACTCTTTTTGTGTCTGGATTTGTGGATTTGTTGTTTTGTTATTCATGTTTAGGAACACCAACTTTCAAATGTTCCTGAACAGCATTAGATGGAAGTAGATACAGTCAGAGGTCATCTCATCCATTACGATTCAGTACATTTCATGGTGCAAGGTGTTGGCTGTATGTTTTTATTTATCAAATCTTTGAAAATCTGAACTGACACGTGCTGGAACACTATTTCTCACTGGAAGTGGAAGTAGAACATAATGCAAAAGAGCAATAAGTACATCAGGGCCATCTTGCATTTGACATCACTTTTTTGAGTGGAAAGATAAGGAGATAATAGAGATACAAGCCAGAAATTAGCACTGGGTAGAAAAGGTTTAATTTCTTGTTGCATACAAGTGGAACTAATGTCAGAGTGCAACACGATGCCTACATGTTGTTGTTGTTTTTAAAATGAGCCATGAGATATGACTTCATTTATTCATTTACAAGTTTATACTTGACACTAAGAATTGTATTTATTTAGGTTAAAGGGCGGAAGGAGTCTTTATTTACAGTATGTTGAGGCAATGATAGTGCTGCCTTCAGGAGCTCACTGTAAAACACTATGTTATTGTATACTATGGTTAAAGATTGAAATAAAGATTTGTTTTTGCAGTATGCTATTAAAATTATGTGATGTAGCCTATTTGAGTTTTTGCAGTGTTATGAAAAGGGGAAATAGGCACGAAGTGGATATTTAAAACAAATACATTTAGCTACTTTTTAAATGCTCATTTTTATTCTTTAAAGTAATTACGCATATTTTCAGATATTTGAACACACACCAGCAGTATACTACCCTAACCCTGAGTCCTTCATCCTAAGCATTGTACAATGGTAGTAATAGGGCCAGATTAATAAAAAAAAAAACAATAACAAATTGTGTTCATTTTCAGATTTTGGTTGAAAATTTGACATTACATTTGAAAAACTATTTTGAGGGGGAAAAGGCGAAATGTGGAGATTGCACATTGTGTTTATGGTTAAAAATAAACAATTTACTTGTAACATAAATCAATTCTGAAGTACGATTTTACTAGTTCATCTACGCAAGGCACTTTGTAGAGGGCTTTAATCTCTACATTTCGACTTTATTCTCAAAATACTAATTCCTAGTTTTTACAAAAATAGTGTATATATATATGTGTGTGTGTGTGTGTGTGTGTGTTTATACGTATGTATTTTCTTTTTTTATTTGGCCATAACATTCCTTTCATGGGACTGAACGTTCCGACAGCATTTGAAATTACCAGAGGGGAGGGCGTCTTTGGAATCGCACTACGCGTGCGCGTTCAATCCACTTTGCTGTAGAGGGAGACATGGCGACGTCCCTGATTTGCGGCCGTTTGACGGCTAGCCTGAGAACTTCAGGGGCTAGAAACACTATTAGCTCCGCTTGTAAGGTAAGTGTGTATCCACAACGGAAGACAACGTTTGGGCTTTCGTGGAATGTGTCTGTTATGGCACCACACCTTCCCCGAGGGTTAAAAGTTCTACGAATCTGACAGGGTCAAATTTGACATTAGCACAACTCGATTGAGTTTCCGTTATTTTGGCTAACACGCTAACTAGCACATAGTTAGCACGGCCGGCTGTCAAATCTGCAGATTAAGCAGTAAACGGCCAAAGAATCACTGTGCCCTTAGTCTTTTCTGTAGCCGTACACTTCGTGTGGCTGTGAACGGCATTCTTGGTGGAGGATATGCTCAGTGAAGCTCAGTGACCTCCACCGGCAGCTGCTACAGCTTCCATCCCAGCGATTCCTCCCCCATGACATCTGTCCCGCTGGGTCTTCTTGGGAAGTTATCTGGCCAAATCCGCTCAGGCTCGGAAGCATAAACAGCTTTCACTGCAGAGATACGCTGTAAATATACAACGGGGGGAACAGCAAGATAAAATGACGGAAGAGATCTAACCGGGAAGAGCGCGCAATTCAACCGGGAGTCCATTACACCAGGGCCCCCATAAGATAGAGCCTGACCAGCAAAACTCTGAATACTCTACACTGAGCAGAATTACGTTATTTATGTCGTATTGGTGGGAGGCTTTGGGTCTCGACATTCCAGCCTAAACATTGCTGCAGACACCTGACACCACAGGACAAACTCAGTGGTCTCATGGCTGTGCTCTGGCAGTCCGGAGCTGTTTTGGAAGCATGAAGAGGACCTACACAATACAAAACAGCTGGTTTTAGTGTTTTGTCTTATCGGTGGTAAACGTATCAGCATTCTTAACAGAAGTCTTTGTGTCATCTTAGGTGAAAGTTTGAAATGCTTGTAAAACTTATTTTGACACATTGTTCAGATAACATCAGCAAAGCTTTACATTTGTTTTACTAAAAAGGTATCTGCAGGTTGTTGAAGCTCTCTAAAAGCACCGAATTCAGTTCTTTTGTCCAAAACTCGGAATACGCCATTTAGTGACACAATATTAACATTTTTTCAGCTAAAAAAATTTATAGGATACTGGTTTGAAAGATGGCTGAAAGGTGTAATATAGATCAACGAAAAAGACCGGTGATCTTTAAATTGTTTCATTCTTTTTAGGCTACCTGTCAGGACTCCGTTTGCCTACATTTGTATTCATCAATAGGAATTTTTGAGTTATCCATCTGGAAATGTGATATAATGTATATTTTAATTGCAGTATTGTTCTGGGTTTTCATTTTGGATGGTGTAACAGTGAAATAATACATGTGTTACACTCTATGTGGTTGCAAGAGGGACTTTAAAAGTCTTACTTGAGTAGCCAACAAAAAGTCTTCAGTTGCTCCCTTTTTTTTCTGTTCATTATAATCTTGATAGTGTGTGCACACCTATTAGAGTTAATAATGTCTGTTTACACACACTTTTGCTTGTGATATAATTTTATATAGTGTGTAAAGGTAACAGAACAAAGTAATGTTTGACTAATTGTCTGGTATCTGAAACCTCAAAAACCGCAACAGGTTTAGTTCTTCTTGTTCTGTTTTAGCTAAACACTTACTTCAGTCACAGGTACGCCATACTGGTACCAGGGGGGACCTTTTGGCCTTCAGAACTGCTTTAATTGTCTGTGGCACAGATTTAACAAGTGGCTGGAAACATTCCCTAGAGATTTTAGTCCATATTGACATGGAGCATCACACAGATGCAGATTTGTCAGCTGCACATTCATGGTGTGAGTCTCTTGTTCCATCACATCCTAACGGTACTCTGTTGGAATGAGATCTGGTGACCGTGGAGGCCATTTGAGTACAGTGAGAGCTTTTAAATGGTGATCAGTTTGTACTTAAGGCCCCAGAATGTTCCAAGAAAATATTCCCAACACTATTATACCACCTCATTAGCCTCAGCTATTGAAACAAGGCAGGATGGAGCCTGTTACGGTTAGCTTTGATGCTATCATCTGAATATCACAGCAAAAATCCAGAATCATCATTCTGTTGACTGCTTTCGGTGAGCTTCACTTCCTGTTCTTATCTGACAGGAGTGGCACCTGGTGTGAGTTTCTGCTGCTTTAGTCTGAGTGGTTATTGGAGCTACTGTTGCCTTCTTGTTAGCTCAAAGCAGCTGACCATTCTCCTATCACCTCTGACATCAACAAGGCATTTTTACCCAGAGAACCGCCACTCACTGGATGTTTTCTTTTTTCAGTAAACCCTAGAGTGCAGATCAGCAGTTTCTGGTACTCAGACAAAGCCCGTATGGCAGCAGCAACCACTCCACCGTCACAGTTACTTAAATCGCTTTGTGTCTCTGGTGTGATACTGAGTTTGAACTTTAACAGGTTGTCTTGACCATGCCTATTTGCCTAAATGCTGATTAGATATTTGTGTTAATAAGTAAATATGTGAAGCAGGTGTGCCTAATAAAGCAGCCAGTTGTCTTCTTTTTTTTTTTTTTTTTTGACCAAAAATGAAAGGTTGGATTTTTCTTTTGGTCCACTGATTTAGTTGAGGAAATAAACGTGATTGTCTAATGCCCAGCTGATATGCTTTGAGTAACACTTTGTTTCACATCCTTGCTGAAGTTTCCAGTGTTGCTTTTGTGGTCCTACGGACTGTGAACGATTCTCTCTTCCTCCAAGGATGGTTATGTTTTGTGTTGTAGGAATTTTATCTCGTGGGTTTAGTGTCTGCGATTTTCACATGTTGCTCTAGCAATATTGAGCAAAAGACAACACAATGATGTGTCTGCTTGTTTTGAGTTAAAAGAGATTGTTTATTTGTAGGTTAGATTGACATTTGAAGATGGTAGATGTACTGGTTTTAAGTTCATTGCTTCCTGTGCTTGTTCTTTCTGTCCCTTCAGGTTCTTGGTGGTTCTTCAGGTCTGTTTGGCGGCCATGTGTCCCAGCCCCAGCCCCCTCACGTGCAGCAGCAGCAGAGGAACCTCTCACTACATGAGTACATGAGCATCGGCCTGCTGAAAGAGGCCGGCATCTCTGTGCCGGCCGGCATGGTGGCTAACTCCTCAGAGGAGGCGTACGCTGTGGCCAAGCAGATTGGTAAGGCTGAACAAGTCGTTAACAAGCAAGTTCACTTTCACTGTCCTTTACTAAAGGACAAAAAAAACAAAAACTGTAGTTCTGTTATTTAGAACAGTTTAAGTGATTTTTAAAGACAATGTCCAACCTCAGTCAAGATGCACAGCTTCACACTTTAATGGATAAAGAGGCACTGACATTTGAAGATGTTGTATATGCATTTAATTACAGAAGCCTTGAGAAGCCCAGCAGGCTAAACTTCAAATGCTTTGATTGTGAACTGACTGTGGCAATATTAACGTTTTAAATAAATCATAATACAACCTTGTCTGTAAGAAGCCAAATTACATTAGTACTGTTTCTATTCCAAACAATCTCATATTGTATAAGCCATCACTTTCACAAACTTGACTTAAGTACAGAAGTCTTACATTTAGAGTTGCTGTAGTTAAACTCTGTTCTGTCAAACTTCAGTCTGGAGACCTTTGAATTTAGCTACCATGTTAAATGCAGTGGGCTTTAGTAGTGTTATGAATGTTTTATCTGTTAATGGTCCACCACCAAGCCACTGTTGTGGATTTACTAGTGGTGATTTTCTTTGGTTGGTCTTATATGAGCAAGAAGAGCACTTTAGAGCTATGTTTGAAATGAAAAACTTTAAAGATGCCGGTGTTAAACATTTTGACCCCATTGCTCTGCATTAGACTTGAAAGCATTTAAAGAGATGGAATGAAAGTTTTGACTTTAACCACGCTATTACTCTCTGACAAACCCAGTGGCGTGACTATCCATTTATGCTGCTAACTCTTTCATCACCCCTCTGGACCTGAATGCCACTTGGAGGCTTTTCTAACATTGTTTGTGTGTGTGTATGCGTGCGTGCGCGCGTGTAAGAGTGAGACAGACAGAGAAAGACTCTCGCACACCCAGTCTATACATAGCCATCTCCTGCTTCAGTGGTATCAGTTGACACTCAGCGTGCACAATTCTTGGATAGAAAGAAGATGCACCTGTTGGAATCAATACACACCCTGTTTCTTGTTCATTGTAAATAACATGAAAGGAGCTGCATGCCATGTTTTTTTTTCTCCCCATATGTTACTCCTACTTTGCCTGTGTGTGAAGTTATATTCCTCTATCAGTAAGGAGACATGTAATATGATAAGACTTATTTAGCTAAGCTGGTCCTCTACTGCTTTTTTTTTGGGGGGGGGGCATATACAGTATGTTGCAAAAGTTTTTAGCCACCCCTAATTTCTTTATTTTGCTAGGAAAATGGGAAGCGTTTGCAGTTATTTATTGACACATGTTCAATCATACATGGAAATACAGTATATAAGCCAAAAAGAAGAAGCTTGAAAGTCAAAATTTGGTATAAAGACCTTTATTCTTCAGCACAGCTTGAACTCTCTTAGGAAGATTGCTTGTCATGTGTTTCAGTAGTCTTCAGGAATTGTTCTCCAGGTTTGTCCAAGGACATTCAAAACTCTTCTTTGCATGTTTTCTGACATTTTTTTTCTGTTCTCTGACAAGATGATCCCACACTGATTCAGTAATTTTAAGGTCTGTGCTCTTGGGAGGCCACTGTCTGTTTGTTCATACAGGCATGCTTTCACTGGATTGGCAGTGTGTTTGTGGTCATTGTCATGCTGATAATGAAGCTATTGATAGTCAGATGTTTTCCAGATGTTAATT